GCAACCAATTTGCACATTATTACAGTATTAAGTACTATGTATATCCAAAGAAGTCCAGTCACGCTATGGTCTAAATTAAAACGTACATTCATACTTTACATTTTCAAAATGTTAATCAGAACTTACAGGAGTTTTAAATAAATTATTTTTCAGTAAAGCGTGAAACAAGATCGCTCTTGTGGGATTCCATATAATCAGGAGACCCCTAAATAACGCTCCAGCTTATATTTCAGCTCGCATTTCAAAATATTTCCCATGAGACACTACCAGCCTTCAGCGAGAAATTTTCTAGAATAATAAGATCCTTTATTTACACTATTTTACTTATAAATGTAACTTTTTTCTAGTAATTTTGAAATTTCTTACTGTGCCTAGTATATCGTAGGAACAAAATTCATTAATTAAATTCTCACAGGAAGTTTTCAGTTTGTGTTAGGTATAAGTATTAATAAATGTGTGATTAAAAACAATGCTAGTTAGGTGCGTTGTTATTTTGTCGGCATACATACAACGTATATTTCCTGCGATAAGGTCCAGTTACTTTATTAACTAATTATAATAAGTGTAACGGTTTCCTTTCTAGTCGTTTTATTATATTTATGGGGGAATCGTTTGAATAACAAGGAGTCTTGGCTTGCCTCGGAACATGTACATCCCCCATCCATAACTGTGGGTGTCATAATACTGATTATATCGGGAGGACAATGGGCAGTAGCACCCACGGCCCACCTTTCTCTGATGTCTGATGGCATCTTTCTGCAAAAACTTGGCTTTAACTATATGTATTGACAAAATTTTGCTTCTTGACAATTTTACCTACTTATATAAAATACCATACTTATAATGGGACAAGTCACAACAGACTTATGAGTACTAGGTAAAAGAATAAAGTTCAAATGCACTTGAAGTAAACAAAAATGTGACTTAATTTATTCACTTCGAGCCAAATGAATCTTCACAATATGTCTCGGTATAGTCTCATTTTCTTAACAATGTAAGGGCTGGCTCGATTCCGACTCTTTAAGCTTGGTGTGTGCAACATAGCGCATAACACTAAAACCGTCAAACGGGTTTGCAACCAACGAATGCTATAATAAAAAGTTGTTCCCGAGACGCGGACGCGGGCGGTTAAGGCACGCTCATGGTGTTGAGAATCAGCGAACTTACTAGGTATAATATTATAACATAAAATTTCTTTGTGAGAATTGACCATGCTTGAGAGGTAAAGCTGGTTATTATTGCAAATAGTTCATATTTATTACCGTACACAACTTTGTAAATATTTGTAAGTATTCACTCAAAGCACATCTATTAGTCCAAATGTGACATTCTACTAGTCAAAGTATAAAAATTAATAAACACGACGCAAAAAATCGCTTTTCACGTCTGTGGGCATAACCTGCTTGGATGACTGGAAGACGTCTCGATTGGTGGAACCAGCTCTAAAATCGCAAGTTTTTGTGCAGGGATTCAATCACTCATATTTACTTGGTATCCGTTCCGACTTCCTTGCTAAAAACAGATAAAAATTGTATTTTATCAAACGTTTCGTTCAATTAGGCTTGAATTCAGTGTAAAAAAATTGATACTTTGGTACGTTATACCAATAAGTACCTAACTTAATAAATTTTTAATTTCAACGGGTGACGGGTTTTTAACCTTTATTTTCGTACCTACCTTATTCCTAAAAGGTAACAAAAGTTTTGTAATAAAACATTTTTTGGTACCTAATTAACTATTGACAGATAAATTAGACTAATGAGTGATTAGGCTAACATGCCAGTGCATATAATATGTGAAATCCAAAAAAGTGTACTTATTAGGTTGAAACCTATTGAAAAGGGAACAGAAAAAATAGAAATTAAAAATGGAATACGAAAGGGATGGGTGTGTGTTTTAAAATACTATCTACACTTTTTACAATATTTTTCCCTAAACCGATTGGTCGTAATACAATTGTATAAAGCAAGACATTTGAATCTACCATAATACTATATTGACAACTTCATCGCCCTTCAAAAAACACTTAAGTAAATATTATTGCAACAACAACAGGAACACAAGCGTAGGTATTCCGTTTTGCTATTGGCAATTTTTAAATCGTAAAATACATGATACATCTACCCATCGCTAGTTAGCATAAACAAAAGCGTGCGTTCGTGCAGCGGAATGTTGTTGAATTTAAAGATTTTAATTATGCAGATATTTAGTGTATGACGTCGTATAATTGTGTATGGTAAAAAAAAATTTGTGCACGCAACCATTGTGGAGAAATTCACCAAAAACTGATTCCGCTGGGCGAACGTTGTCCTGGCGGAACTTTTTTTAATCCATAGACTTTAGAAAAAAAGAGATGTATCCAAAAATTAGTGTGTATTTGTGTGTAATTGTGTACGTATGAATAAAACTAGTGCATGCATAAACTTCGGAGATATTCAAGTTTCCGCTACGCGAACGTTTGGCCATTAGCTAGTTTTCATATAAAGCGCTTACATAGAGAGCTGTAGATTTTTACATACGTTGTTTTGAATTTGTGTATATTTGTTTAAAAAACAGATTCAGAAAAAATCGTAGGGTTTAAAAGATAAAAATATAAACGTAAAATACGCTTATTAGGTCTTAGCTCTTAAAGTATGCACTTTAGGGTCTAGATTTTCACGTTTATACAAACCTTGTAAGTGTCTGCAACATGTTGCCAAGTATCAATGATGTTCCGTTAGTAATTAAATAGTTATAGGACAAATTTACCATGAATAGATCACTGTTTACAAAGCAGTCAAATATCACGACGTTCTAAATAAATTGCATGGTAAAATGTATGCCAATAATTAGTGTATTCATTCAACTATTCACATGCAAAATTTCATGTCATTAAATTCAGTAATTAAAGAATAACAATTATAATACTGACGAAGTATCGAAAACCTACATAACCCGACCAAGTTCGGATGGCTCCAAAAAAGCGGCTGTGCAATATATTTAGGTAACATCCCAAAATTTACAGTATAATACCGGTATTGAATTGGTACAGGTGATAACACACTTGTTGTTTCGAAATAATTTATAGGTCATTTATTTTTGGACACCTACTTTTTTAAATGTATTTGACTATGACAGAAAGTAGGTACTATTTACGTAGGTACTTTATTTAAGTATGCGCTTGAGACTTGAGATATAATCTAATTATATTTAAGACAAATAAAATTCATACAGCTAATTTCTATTGAAGATTTCACGGATCAGGATTCTAACTATACACCCCTTAGGGAAATTAAATATTTACCACATGTAAGTACTTAAGTACTACTGTTTAGGTAAATATTTATCATATTGTAGCTTATTACACTATTTAACCAATATTTTTTATTACACTATTTAACCAATAGACTAGGCATGCACGAGCGTGTGTACCATAGTGTGTTTTATTTTTTCCTAACGCTTGTGTACGATACTGTTCCATATTAATAAATGCTATATTGGAAAGTTAAGAACGTTTCTTAGATATATGGCACGGCCGCTTTTTTGTAGCCATCCGAACTTGGTCGGGTTATGTAGGTTTTCGATGCTTCGTCAGTATTATAATTGTTTTTCTTTAATTACTGATTTTAATGACATGAAATTTTGCATGTGAATAGTTGAATGAATACACTAATTACTGGCATACATTTTACCATGCAATTCATTTAGAAAGTCGTGATATTTGACTGCTTTGTAAACAGTGATCTATTCATGGTAAATTTGTCCTATAACTATTTAATTACTAACGGAACATCATTGATACTTGGCAACATGTTGCAGACACTTACAAGGTTTGTATAAACGTGAAAATCCAGACCCTAAAGTGCATACTTTAAGAACTAAGACCTAATAAGCGTATTTTACGTTTATATTTTTATCTTTTAAACCCTACGATTTTTTCTAAATCTGTTTTTTAAACAAATATACACAAATTCAAAACAACGTATGTAAAAATCTACAGCTCTCTATGTAAGCGCTTTATATGAAAACTAGCTAATGGCCAAACGTTCGCGTAGCGGAAACTTGAATATCTCCGAAGTTTATGCATGCACTAGTTTTATTCATACATACACAATTACACACAAATACACACTAATTTTTGGATACATCTCTTTTCTTCTAAAGTCTATGGATTAAAAAAAGTTCCGCCAGGACAACGTTCGCCCAGCGGAATCAGTTTTTGGTGAATTTCTCCACAATGGTTGCGTGCACAAATTTTTTTTTACCATACACAATTATAAGACGTCATACACTAAATATCTGCATAATTAAAATCTTTAAATTCAACAACATTCCGCTGCACGAACGCACGCTAAACAAAATTTAAATAGGTAGGTACTAAGTTTATTAAAACTTAAAACTGGTAAATTATTAATTAATCATCTTCTAGGTAAGTATATGGGGAATAAAGGACTTACAGCTATTAATATATTCAGAACAATAAATTTATAATTGTACCTACACTAGGTAGAAAGATGATTATGAATTTTTTTTTGCACCATATCATTTGATTCATAATTTAACTTTCATATCATTTTGTACCCCATCATATCATGTACCTAAACCTTACCTACCTAGATAAATTTTTGGCCAACGTTTCGTAACTTAACAATACGTAGATCGTTATTGCATAGTTATAGATTAATTACATGTAGGTAGGCTAATTTTATTATAATAGGAACTCAAATAGAGGTACCTTTAAGTACCTACCTAATTGACGAAAACACATTCATACGAATTTATATCATAGAAATTAAGAACACAGCAAAACTAATAAAATATAAAATATTCAAATTGTTATGTAGAATTGTATACCTACAGTAGATAATAAAAGATGGGATGACTGACTTTTTTTGTATGACTGTTATGGCGGGCGGAGCAACAAACAAAACATTCAACCGAATATTGCCGAACTCGCACGAACCAAAACGAATCTCGCTCCAAAACGTGATCGCGCTGTTTGATTTGAAAACAAAATCCACCCGCCCGCTGCCGGCCTGCCGGCGTTTCACGGGCGAAGGCGAACACAACAAGCTCAGTGCGCGAGCAAGCGTGATACGGAATGTACGTGTGGTGCGTTTTGCGCGGACGTTGACTCTGCGATTTATTTTTTTTATCTTACGATTTATACGCCCAGGATTAAAAAGTATTGGAGTATACAGTCGATAACCTAAAAAGAGTTTTTATCATCAAAGTTGACTTCGTGACAGTTCGCGCAGAATTTTGACCAAAATCTGTGAATTTCCGTATAGACGCGAAAAAGTGAAGGAGACATTTCGAAACAAAGGACTGTTTTGTACATTTTCGCAACGATTGCGAAATTGTGTTCAAAAATACTGATCTGGCTCAATCGTGGAGGGCTAATTAAATAAAAAAACTGCCCCTGGCCAACTAGTTCGGACACAATCTGTGGTCACCGAACGACAAAACAAAAGCGTAACGATTTACTAGATTATTACAAGGACCATATTTGTAAAGGTTTTCATAAAATTCTCGTTAAAAAGTATCGTGAACTTTACATCGGCTAACCTAAAAATTACAGTGATTTCGTCGACCTTACAAATTCGTGCTTCAGTGGATCAGTCAGTTTGCAGATTTTTGATACGAAAAAATTAAGCACTAAAACCTGGATTAAGTGTCGAGTTGGTTTTGCATGATGTCTACTGCCATAATGCATCAGTCTGCGCTGTACGACTTTGGTGATCTGTTCTTGAAGGTATGTGTAAATTATTTAATTTTACTTAGCTAAGTATTTTTAAAAGTACCTATTTAATAACTTCCTTATTTTCTAACATGCCCAACGAAAGGTATTTTACTTAATGTTTTCTTACCTACGATAACAATAGTCACGACACATATTTCATTGCAAAACTTGATAAACAAATTTGAATCTACCGGGTCTTGAGTGTGCCTACCCTTCCTCTCAGGCCTCCAAGTTTTTGCTATTTAAGAGTTTGTTTCATAAAAGTAACAATTTTGTGGTTATTTTGAAAACTTAAAGCGTTGGTAGGTACAGCAATTCAAATGAATGTTTCTTTACCAAACGACTGCAGGTTATGCGAATATGACTACCAACTCCATATTAATGCTATGCCAGAATTAATTACTATCACATCGTGGCAGCAGAAATACTTGTATATCAGCAGTTTTATGGTAGCCATTACTTGTAGATAAATATTACGTACCTACTTTTGTCGCTAATGGTCCAGTAGATATCTAAACTCAAAGACAACATTTTAGTATTTAAACGAGAACATAAATTGCTGTGCAAACAAGTAGGTAATAATATGCTAAGCCACCCTGTACCCACTTTTATCAAAGATAAATCCAACAACCGATTAGATGTTTGATATGAAGTGCTCATACAATTAATAACATGTGAAGAATTTTTGCTAATTTTCTTGGTTAAAAGCTACTGTTCTGGATATTTTGAGTATTTTCACGACTATAATAATACCTAATAAATCTTCTAAGTAGGTAAAGTGTATAATCTAAGGCAGGGCAACTTGTATACCTACATGCCTACATAGTTTTACGAAAACCTATTCTACCTACACACAAAATATACCTACTTAGCAGAAAATTAAGATAAATTGGAATTATAATTCATAATTAAACGATGTAGTTTTGGAATATTTTTGATATTAATATGCATAGATTGTTTTTTAGTTTGTTGCTATAACATTAGGTCGGTATATAGGTAGGTACGTTTAAACAACAATGAATAATAAAGCAATCTATAGTTAGGTACTTTTACATTAGTAGGTATCTCTTTTTCAAGTTTTTTGTCGTTTTTATGCTAGGATGAGTAGTTACTTGACGTTAGTTAGTAGGTAGGTTATAAAAACAAAGAACAGTCAAACCATAATAGCCTTTTATGGGTCACAGAACTCATAAATTAGTTATAATTTCTGAGCGGGATAATTGTCACCCAACGATCGTTCAGAGCAGTGAGTTGCCCACATATAAAATTAATTGTTTATTGCAACGTTTAAAAGTACTCCGCCCCTACGAATACCCACTGACCAAAAGTTAAAAAGTTTTTTTTATTAATTTCTGGTGCAGTGATCACAAGAGCGGTTAATTTCCCGTCTAAGTCAATGTTCTGGCCACCATACCATAATTACACGATACGGAAAATAAGTAAAACCAGTTGCTGTGACTTGCGTGCACCCGCATGATGTTGCGTTGCTACTAAAGTTGCAAGGGAGCTTATTCTCGAAACCGATAAAATTTACACAACCGTACCTTCAACTTACGATCAAAATGCCTTTTCACTCAAAATCAGTGAAACATATTCTATCAATCGAAAACCTAGTTACTATTGCAACCATTGTAACTAGTTAGTATTGCAACCATTGTAATTTGTCAAAAATAAAGAAAAATATTCAACTATCTTAATTGACAGGCTCAAACATTTTAATTTTACTACAATACTAGAATTAACTAATTAAGAATACCTCGAATAAACTAAACACGAACTAAGTTTCATTTAAAATTTTCTTCGTAATACACCTCCGTAATGTAAACCTGCTGGGTGTAAAGCTGGGTGCTTTAGCTTAGAATCTAACACGACTTGTTGTGGGCAGTTTCCGTAGAAAAGCAAAAGTACGTACTTACTAATAAGAGGTTATAATTGATTGCCACGCGGGTACCGGAAGATATATGTATGTACTCAGGTTAATTTCTTGTGCCGTGTATTATTTTTTTACCTACTGACATCACATTTGATGCACCTCGTCGAAGAAAAAACGAAGTCTGAAAAATTATTCTAAGACAGCACACTGAATACACATGTAAAAATAATTAATAGTTGTTCGCGGGAATACCTGAAGCGAACCTGTCAATTCTTAATCGGGTTTCAAACGTACCTGAACCTGTTTTCATCTTATTATATTGAATTTTATTAAAATAGTCATGCCTATCTCGCGTGTTTAAATAAATGCTTGATCCTCTTCAAATCTCGGCAGGGGTGAGTTGTAGATGAGCTAAGTGGTATGGTATAGTCGTTGCTTCTATGAAACGTAACTAAAGCTATCTCGATAAGGATCAAAATCGAGTAAGGAAGCCAGTTTTGGAAGCTATTCGCAATGATGCAGCAAAACCGGTCTTACTATGTACTCTTAAGGTTATAAATGGTTTGATCGGTCTAAAAGCTACCTGCTCGAAGTTTTTGTGGTCTTTTACTTTGCGTAAAAGACACTTGTTGCTTAGGGATATTCTGTTTTGTGTTGGGTTGTGTAGCTCTAGTATATAAGTTCACGTTAAAAGGAAAGAGGGTTACTTATGTATGAAGAATTTACTTATGCTTTGAACAAGTGTGTGATTTCTGAAAATGGAGTAGTGTTCAGCTATATTAGGAGCAGTGTTCATAAAAAGCTTTTATGGTAGTGCTTAAGAGCAGGCTATTTTTTACTGACTGCTGAGGCAATAAATTTGTTGAAAATAAAAACCTTAAAATTTATTTCCGTACTTGGTACACCTTTTGATATTTTAATTAATGTGAAGACATCGTGAAAAATTTTGGAACGGAACATTATCCTCAATAGTTCTATCTCCATCTTTAAACTTATGTTAAATGCATAATTTAAGTGCAGTGGGAATTTGGAAAGGTGCATCGTATTCGTGTAGCTTTTTTTCACGTTTCGTATATTATTCGGTTCCAAAAAATCTTTTTAAACCGTTGAATACACCTACAACCTTCTACCTGCCATCTATTTACAAATACAACCGCTGCATTTTTTTTTGTCCCACTCTGAGATTCAGATAAAGAGCTTTTTGTTCCGTCTCCCCTTTGTCCCAAAACTATTGGTGGGAAGGTCCTGATAATATTTTGTATTCAGGATGATTTTGTATGCTACAGACAAGTCTGAATAGGTATTTTGCAATAGGTAAGCCTATTCGATACGGCTTCTTGGATTTTTGTATTATTTTCCGTGCTGCATTGGAAAGAATACGAAAATTAATAAGGTAGTTGAATACTATTTGAAACTACCTACCTACTACCCAACTTAAATATATTTTCAAGTTAAAATTTTCGGTGAAAAATTACAAGCAATTCGAAGCGACTGGCAGTGTTAACTATTTCGCCAGTGTAGTTAGTTGGTCAGTAAGGCGTGTAATCACGTGGGGCGGCGGACCGTGTTCGTGCCACGCTTGCACGCAACTTGCCGATATTGTTCGCAAAATCGCAACACATCACCTATAATTATTACCTTATTTACTCTTATGCTTCTAGTTCTTAGTCTGAATACCTACGGTGTTTATTAAGCGAACTAGATTCTACGTAAAGTAATACTGAGGCTAAAATTTATGGCGATCTACCTATCATTATTAGGAAACGTGCGATTCCATATTATCTCACTTGGCCTTCACCGCGCTCACTAAGTGGATTTTAACTTACATTCTGTCTATTGTGCTTTCTTCTGTGGGGTGTATCGTTTTAAATATATGCATATCCATTAGTAACTCCCATGAGTATGTGATTCTACTGTTAAAATAGACACTTTATTCGCATCCAAAATAAACAGTAGAAGTGTGTGAGCAGTACCGGCGTGGAGGTCGTCACGCGACGCGATTAGCTATCCACGTGTGCTGATAAAGATTGATTGTATGGCAACCTGCTGTATAACCAAAATGTTGTCTGACGTCATAAACAAACTTCCACAGAGCTGTAAGTTGGTTAACTTGAGAGTCTACAATCATACTTTGATTGGCTTCTCTTTCACATTCGAATGTGTAAAATCTTAAGATTGCAGTCAAATGTTTGATCATGTCGTACTAGTCAATTGCTGTATAATTCTATGCAAGTAAATACAAGCTTTCCACGCTTTTCGCAATCTAAACTCGAAAGGTTTCTCAAACAGCCGGTTTTAACCTCAAAGTCGACACCTCCGCTGTCGTTTCCCAACACCTAGACGTTGCAGAAATGTTGGAGTGCAACGCAAACAATAAGTGTCGATCGTGGGAGTTCAGTAGTGCTAGCGTAGCATTCGTTACCTGTACACAATGTGTAACTTTAGAGTTCCCTTGCTCTATTGGCGAAATGCGATGCTGTCTGGGACACCTACCTACATGACTTGCTTTTTTATTTCACGGAACTGTATTTGACTACTCCGACTTACATAACAAAGGCGCCTACTTACCTATATATGTTTGTGTTTTTTTCGTGGTTATAAATATAAAACAAAAATATTCCGAACATCATGCCTAATCGCAAAATATTACGCATAATGATAGGTTGGAATGATACTATGATGTATTAACATTTCAGATTTAAGATTATTAAGCAGGGACATATGTACCTTTATCTGTAGTGCGGTAATTGGGAAGCCTGTGTCTGGGCAAGAGTATAAGACACGATCTGCGTAGGCCAGGTCCAACGGCCGCACTCGTAACTGCCAGTGTACTATTTTTAGCCCGGCTCCTTTCTCCGCCGACTGGAGCCCGGACGTGAGTCAACCCTTTGTTCCCCCGAAGCGCAACGGCCTCAAGTGAGGACGCTTTGCCATTTACTTCACCATAAGCCCATTCTGATGTGGTCAACTCTCTTCAAGATACGGTTTTCCAAACATGCGTCAACATCATTTAGATTTTTAATATGTAGCTCGCCTTGAACGTTTTGTTTCTCAATGTGGAGACGCCACTATGTTCTGTCCATACTCATATAAAACACTAGACTCCAATTTGATGTAAAGATTAGAGGTTTCACACCTC